AATAAATGAAAACACAGTAGTACAGAGAGGTTGAGCCTGCATAACTAGAAAGTGTCAAGATAGTTTTCATTCCTAGGCCTGTCTGATCCCAAAGCCTGTATCTTTCAAATAACATAAGAAAGTAGTAAGCAAATTTAATTTTTAAATGTCTTTAAAGTATTTTATTTATTCGATTTTAAAATGTCATAAATATTTTATATTTAATATCATATAATGTGCTATCTATTTTGAGTATCACTTTTTCATTTCTGAAAACACAACTCATTGTCCTCCTGCCTCTGCCAGACAGGAAGCACACTATGTCCAAAGTGTGATGTGGCTGATAAAGACATTAATGTGTCTAAGGCTGCACTAGAAGCACAGTGTCAGCTGAGCGTGGTGGCTCATGCCTGTTATCCCAGCACTTTGGGAGGGTAGACCAAAGTGGGTGGATCACCTAAGGTCAGAAGTTCGAGACCAGCCTGGCCAACATGGTGAAACTCCAGCTCTAGTAAAAACACAAAAAATTAGCCAGGCATGGTGACACATGCCTATAGTCCCAGCTATTCCAGAGGCTGAGGCAGGAGAATTGCTTGAATCCAAGAGGTGGAGGTTGCAGTGAGTCGAGATTATGCCACTGCACTCCAGCCTGGGCAACACAGCAAGACTCTGTCTCAAAAAAAAAAAAAAAAAAAAAAAAGCACGAAAAAAGAAAAAGTTGGAGTTTCTGGTAATATATGGGGGATAGGGTGGGCAGGGAGGAAATGGGATGTGTAGATATCTTCAAAGTTTGAAATAATGTCCAGAAGAAGAATGAAATTCCCCAGTATAGCAGCTAACAGGTAGCTCTAAACCCAGTATAAGGATGTTGCTAACTGCTGAACAGAAAGAAGGGCTCTCCAGTATTTGGAACTGTTCACAGATGGAATCTTCTGCTTTGTGAGGTAGGAATTTCCCATCACTGGACATGTCCATGCAGAGACAAGAGAGTCAAGCATCAGGACTCTCTAGCCTTTACAGTCCCTTCCAACCCCAAATTCCACAATCCACCAGTTAATCTATCATCTGAACTGTCTTCTTAGATTCAGTTTCCTCCCTCCTAATGTCTTATTTGTACCTAATCTGCTATACTTGTTGGCCTTTACTCTTTTCTTTCACTTGAGCCATAATTATATTTTAAAATAGTTCAATATCAGGCTAATCTAATCAATTATGGCTTTATGAGGTTTTACAACTAATTTTTTTAATCCGATTTTTTTAAATCAAACATTTTTTTCCTGTATTTCTAATATGGGACATCTAAAAACAACTCTCTGGTCCTTGGGAAGGCAATTTATTTTCAGGAACATGTTATTCAAAATTTTCTATCTAATGGCCAAATAGTGCTATAAATGCCTCTTCTAAAATGAAACAGTAGCAAGATGGATTATTTTGGTTTCTCCTGCCCTTGAATGTTGAATTTACTTGTGCTGGTAACACCAAAGTAATATGTGTTCAATTCAATACGCATTGTTTATTTATTCGACAAATAATTGTGGAGTATCCAATACTGTTCTAGGCGCTGGAGAAACCACAGTGAACAAACACAAATAAAATTCTCTACTCTTGTGGCCTTGCTTTTTAATGGAGGGGACAGAGAGTAAATAAGATAAAGAAGTAAATATATACAAGAAAAAATATACATGAACTGGTGACAAACACTAAGGGGAAGACTAAGGCAGTGGGACAGATGGGGGAAGAGAAAGAGGATATTGCAATTTATTAAATTAAATTTATTTATTTATTTATTTATTTATCTGAGACGGAGTCTCCCTCTGTCACCAAGGCTGGAGTGTAGTAGGGCTATCTCAACTCACTGCAACCTCCACCTTCCAAGCGATTCTTAAGCCTCAGCTTCTGGAGTACCTGGGATTACAGGCATGTGCCACCACCCCCAGCTAATTTTCATATTTTTTAGTAGGGGTTTCACCATGTTGGCCAGGCTTGTCTCAAACTCCTGACCTCATGTGATCTGCCCACCTCAGACTCCCAGAGTGCTGGGAATACATATAGGCGTGAGCTATGCTGCAATGTAAATGGAGGGGTCAAGCCCCTCCCTTTAAATTATATTTAAATAAAGGGAACTCCACTGAGAAAGCGACAGTGAGTTTTTTGTTGTGGTGGCTTTTTGGTTTTGCTTCTGTTTTTGAGAAAAGGTCCGCCTCTATAGCCCAGGCTGGAGTGTGGTGGCGCCATCTCACCTCACTGCAACCTCCACGTCCTAGACTCAAACCATCTTCCCGCCTCAGCCTCCTGAGTAACTGAGACTACAAGCATGCACCACCATGCCTGGCTAATTTTTTGTGTATTTTCCGTAGAGATCGGGTTTCACCATGCTGCCTAGGCTGGTCTTGAACTTGTGAGCTCACCCGATCCATCTACTTTGGCCTCCTAAAGTGGTGGGATTAAAGGCGTAAGCCACCGCGCCTGGCAGACATTGAGGTTTAAGCCACAAAGGAAATGAGCGAGTGATCAGCGTAAATATCTGTCAGAACATAAAGAGAATAGCAGATACGAATGCAAGATTCCAGTCATGTTCTGAATATCTGCTGAATGCTTAGCATCATGTTGGCAAAAAGCACTAAAACACAGGTTTCTAAACACCAGGATCTTGAACAGGGAAGAAAACATATGCACCCAAAACAATAGCTAGTTAACTGCCAAGTGCTAAATCTGGAAGATCAGATCCCTGAAAAACTTCTCCCCTTCAGTTATACTCGACAGAACGATCCCCTGAAACACACCTTGGATGTTTCTACCTCTAGGCCTCTGTCTCAGTTCCTAGACGGGAATGTTCTTCCCATACTTCTTCAATATTAGATCTTATGCAATGTCCAAAGCCCACCCAGACTTGCTGTCCTTCACAAAGCTCTTCCTAACCACCGAGCACCCAGTGTTTCTGTTTTCTGGATCTGTACAGTAGCATGTCACATCCTCGGCCGACTGTACCAGAACCCTAATTTTAACAAAATCCACAGGTAATTGAAAATGCACACTAAAATCTGAGAATAGCTGCAGGCTACTTGTCTTCAAATGTGGCTACATAGTCTAAAACCCTGGGAAGCTTTCATTTTTTTATTTTTATTTTTAAGACAGAGTTTCACTCTTGTTGTCTAGGCTGGAGTACAATAGCACAATCTCGGCTCACTGCAACCTCTGCCTCTCAGTTTTAAGAGATTCTCCTGCCTCAGCCTCCTGAGTAGCTGGGATTACAGGCATGCCACCATGCCCAGCTAATGTTTTGTATTTTAGTAGAGGCAGGGTTTCACTACGTTGGCCAGGCTAGTCTAGAACTCCTGACCTCAGGTGATCCACCTGCCTTGGCCTCCCAAAGTGCTGGGATTATAGGCGTGAGCCACTGCATCTGGCCCTGGGAAGCTTTTAAAAATACCAATGCCTAGTTCCACCTTCAGAGATTCTGATTTAATCAGTATGGGTAACAGCTAGGCATCAAAAAAATTTTAGAAACTTCCCAGGTGATTCCAATATTATGCAAAGTTTAACAATTACTGGTAGTTCCTCTCTCGTTTCCCTCAGTTTCTTCTCTCTGCTGTTTTGCCTTAGCTGTCAAACAGCCTGCCTTCAGGCTAAGTCATTTTTCCCCCCACTGAGGTGGATTCTTAGACACATAGAACTAGGAGAAGCCAGCTTCCCTTCCACCCTTTCTCCCCTGGTTCAAAGCCTCTGGGACTGGCCCATAGAGCCCTTCCCAGAATACAGGACTGCAGCAAGGAGAGTGGGAGGAGGCAGACTCCAGGCAGACTCCCCATCCAGCAGTGTGGGCTTACGTAAGCCTCCTTGGGCAAGCCATTAAAATATCTTCTCTGCAAAGGGGGAACAACAGCATCTCTGAAATCAGCCTCTGGAGTCACAGGAAGATCGACAGAGCTGATATGTGAAAGAGTTTTTAAAATATTAATGTGCATGACAGCTGGGATGGCTTCCTGATTTAGGATACCCATTTCAAATTTAAAAACTCTTCCTCTCCCCTACTTCCCACACACCTGAGCAAGAATTTTAAGCAAAATTTTATCTTAGCATCCAAAAAAGATGAAAATGCATGTGTAGTATCTGTGTTGATATGTAGTATAATTCAACAGTTACAGCTTGCTGCATCACTAGTTACTGAAAGGTAGTGATTCTGTGACTTGAAGATATTTTAATTAGCACCAAACACACTGAGAGTGTTCAATAAATATTTATCAATGAGGTCTAATTTAAGACGGCATCATATAAGTCCACACTATGCCACTATTGACATGAGGAGTACTACTTGTTGCTTACTCGTTGCTTACTCAAATGACCACGTTTTTACCTTTTTTTTTTTTTTTTGAGACAGGGTCTCGCCCTATAGCATAGGATGGAGTGCAGTGGCGTAATCTCGGCTCACTGCAGCCTCCCCCTTTTGGGTCCCGGTTCAAGCTATTCTCCTGCCTCAGCCCCCTGAGTAGCTGGATTATAGGCATGCGTCACCATGCCCAGCTAATTTTTGTATTTTTAGTAGAGATGGGGTTTCATCATGTTGGCCATGCTGGTCTTGAACTTCTGACCTCGTGATCCACCCACCTCAGCCTCCCAAAGTGCTGGGATTACAGGCGTGAGCCACCGTGCCAGGCCATATTTTTACCTTTTAAGGAAAGTATAGCACCTTCCTTTAGCCATTCTGCTGATCTGCAAACTGAAAGACCAAGAAACCCTGGCTTATTCAAAATAGGTTCTCTGTTTTACTAAAAGGAGTACTCCATTCAAAGTCATCCTCAATACTAAATACCAGTTAGAATAGATACAATACTAAATGCCAGTTAGAATAGGTACAGCTGTGCTGGCTTCATCTACACTAAGTGCTAGTGCTTGAGAGTAGAGAAAGTCTCCTCTGTCCACACATTGCTTTTCCCGTGTCTATCCTTAAACATTCCTTAAGGTTCTCATTCTGGCAGGGTTTTTGTTTGTTTGTTTGTTTCTTTCTTTCTTTTAACAGCTACAAATCTCCTTGGGAGGAACAAGGAAACTTGATGTAAACCACATGTGGAATACAGCAATGGTACCCAAGCTTTTTGGATTTCACAGATCAAGTTTAAAAGATTTGGGGGGAATTCACCTAGGACTGCTAATTTTTATTTTTCTGAGAGAGAATATCAACCAACAACAATTACCACATTTCTTAATAGAATGGACAATTCTAAATAACTAAAACCATGAAGCATATAGTTTTAGAATAAATAATTGTCCTGTTCAAGAAAGGACAAGTGTAACCTTAAAACTGTGATTAATACATCCACATAAATTTATTCTATACATGGCCCTACATTTCCTATGTGTCAGCAGTTGCAAGCCACTGTTCGAGAGGGCTAGGAGGATTTGAAGTGAGTTGAGAACCTTTAGTATCCTGAAGATGCGGTGGGGGCATATTCTACCAAGAAGAAAAGTAGCGAGGAAAGCGCTACTGTAATAATCTTACCTAGGATTACATACAGATAAGGATAACAGAGTCCCAGGATGTTGGGCTAGACAGAAACGTCACCCTTTCAGAATCGAGCAGGGATGACGAAGAGTCCACCTAGGATATCTGGAAAAAGAAATTTCCGCGGCAAAGGGTCCTTGTGCTGACTTTTCTTTTTCATCCACGAGTGTACCCTCTTTGTCTCCTTGGGGGCCCACCTCCCTATTCCCAGGGGGAAAGGGAAAGGGGGAGGACAGGAAATGTGGAAATCGAGTTAACAGCCTAATTGTGAAACAGCACTGTGGCTGAGATGCGAGAGGGGAAGGATAAAAATCCCTCCCTCTCTTTTCAAAAAGTGAGCCACAGAAGTTATAGAAACATTTTCCGTTAAACATCATCTCCTTTTTGCAGAGAACCTAAGGCTCCGAGGACTTGCCCAAGGCCATACAGCTGGGGTGAGCCCAGGGCTCAGCCCCAGCCCAGGTCACGAGGCCCCAGGGTTTGCCCCAGGGTTTGCTCCAGCCACCAGTGGCTCCCTCTTCGGCATCCCTCTCTCAAGTGACAGTATGTCAGGGGAGGCAACTGAAACAATGTCCTTCAGTTCGGATGCATCCTCCCTCTTTCTTCCTTTCCTGTCATGAGACAGGTTTCTCCTTTTCCTGGATGTGGTTTAAAAGGAAAAAAAAAAAGCAAAGCCCAATGTCTTGGCTCTCAGGGTCGCATCCTTTCCCTATCCGTGGGGTCTGGCCCAGCGGGGCGTGGGCACAGTCCTGGGGCAAGAGAAGCACATTCCGGCCGAGGCGCTAGGCGGCCAAGATCTCTGGCTGCCCCCGGGGCCCGCGGCTGTCCCTGGGGTTTCCCCGCTCCTGGGCTCGGTGGCCGCGTGGGCGGGCGCCGGGTGACTCAGCCGTCACCGAGGGCGTTCCGGGAAGCAGCCGGGGGAGCGGGCTTTCCCGCCGCCGCAGAGTGTAGGTCCCCAGCGCGGAAAGGGGATGCGAAACTGCCGGGCAGAGCAGCGGGAGGAAGCCGCGGCGGGCCGAGCAGAGTCAGCGCCACCGCCTTTCCAGCGGGAGCGGAGGGAACGTGGCCTTGACGTTGCCGAAGCTGAAGCGCCTGGCAGGCGCCGGGACCCCGGGGCGGGGCAGGAGGGAGTCCCATTCCCGGCAGGGGGCAGGGGCAGGGTTGAAACGGGAGTTCTGGGGGACGAGGACGTGGAAGGAGCCCAGCTGAGGGCACCCGGGAACCCTGCAGTCGGGCCGACTTTGGCGGGAACCCCTCTCCCTCTCCTCCTGGTGGAGCTCCCCCGACCCGGCACCCTGCAACCGGCGCGGGAGGAGGAGCAGGCCCTGGGCGGCCCGGCCCCAGCTAGGGGGGCGCTCGAGGGGAACCAAGTGAAGTGAGGGGTGCGCCAGAGCAGCACCCCCACCTCCGCTTCCCCGCCATCCCTCCTGGACTAGCCGACTCTCGTCAGACATTCCTGTGTGTTCGGCGCTGGCCTCTCCACACCACGGTGGGAGGCTGGGGTGGGAGGTGGCCGGGCAGAGCGGTGGGGAGTGGGAGCAAGGCTGGGGCATGGGTGGAGGCGCTGGCCGGGAGCTTGCAAGGATGGCACCAGGGAGACATCCAGGACAAACCAAGGGGAATACAGCAGCCACTGAGAGAAGCTGCCCCCAGGAGGAAGGGGCTGCAGAGTTCAACCACCAAGCAAGGCAAGTCCACGAACAAAATCCCGGCCCTAAAAACAGAGCAGCAATTGTCACTGTGGGTTAGGCACTTTAATTGCGTTACCTCTATTTTCATTTATCTCTAAGATTAATGCTACTACCCATTCAAGAGACAAGGAGAAAGTCAGAAGGTTAAAATTCCAGGCTTTGATCCCAGCTCCCTAAAGCCTCCCCTCTTGTCTTTGCCAAAGTTTGCTTCTATGAATCAGTAACCACCATCCCCCCATTTTTTTCTTATGTCAGTCTGAGTTCCCTCACTCACAACCAAGAGAGTCCTGACTAATATCACACCTTTTAATCCGGCAATTATACTTATGAGTATTTATTCCAAAGAAATATTATTGCATAACAAAAGAGCCATATGCCTCACAATATTGACTGTGGGCTTGTTCATAAAATTAAAACAATCGTAAATATAAATGTCCAGTAATGGAAGCAGGGAATAAACTGGTATATTTATATGATAAACTACTACAGGCTGGGCATGGCGGCTCACCCCTGTAATCCCAGCACTTTGGGAGGCTGAGGTGGGCGGATCACCTGAGGTCAGGAGTTTGAGAGCAGCCTGGCAAACATGGAGAAAACCTGTTTCCACTAAAAATAGAATAATAATAATAATAATAAAAAATTAGCTGGGTGTGGTGGCTGGGCAGGAGAATCACTTGAACCCAGGAGGCAGAGGATTCCATGAGCTGAGATCGTGCCACTGCACTCCAGCCTGAGCAACAGAGTGAGCCTCTGTCTCAAAATAAACAAACAAACTACAGAGCCTTAAAATGTTATATGTAGGGTTTTATAACTTGAATAAAGACTTTGGTTATAAGAAAGCAAGATACAAAATCATATATCTATATACACATACACACAGGTTGTAATCACAATATGAAAATGTACATAGAAAAAAACACTGGAAGGAAATCCACCAAAATGTTACATCTTTGGGTGACAGAATTACTACAATTATTTTTTTCTTTCTAAAACATTTATTTTCCAGTTTCTCTACAATGAGGATAAGCATGTATTAAAATATTAAAACACTGATTTCAAAATTTTACGTATAGAGTATGTAATTATATATATAAAACACATATATGAAATCGCTGCTGAATAGGAAATCACTGGGCCTGGGTGAAAGATGATAAGATGTACTTGAGCAATTTTTCCATTAATTGAATGATTTTCTGCAATTTAAAAAACGGTATACGAAAGTTAAAAAGGACGGGTCAATGTTGATATGTCTGTATTAGTCTGTTTTCACCCTGCTGATAAAGGCATACCAGAGACTGGGCAATTTACAAAATAAACAGGTTTAATGGACTTACAGTTCCACATGGCTGGGGAGGCCTCACAACCATGGTGGAAGGTGAAAGGCACACAAGAGAAGAGAGAGCTTATGCAGGGAGACTTCTGTTTTTTTAAAACCATCAGGTCTCACGAGACTTACTAACTGTCACAAGAACAGCCAGAGAAAGGCCTGCCCTCATGATTCAATTACCTCCTGACGGGTCCCTCCAACAACAAGTGGGAATTCAAGATGAGATTTGGGTGGGGACACAGGCAAATCATATCAATGTCCAAGATATTAATGAAAGGGAAGGGCATGCCACAGTGGGCCAGAGGAGAGACAACATCTGAGTTTTAGAATACACAAAAAGGAATGATGAGATTGCTGCTGATTCCTGATTGGCGAGGACATGCTGATTTATGGGCAGAAGAAATGGAACTTTTAATGGCAAAGGGAATAATACATTCATAAACATTACTTAAGATAGGAAGTAAGGGAGTAGTGGGTAAGGTTACAGCATCATGAGAAGTTTTGTTTATAATGGGTATGCTGTATTTATCAGGATATTTTCTAATCCTGAAGAATAGGTGTGCAAAATGAATTTTACATCTTCTCATTTGGCCCAAGATTGTTGATACCAGTTTTATTACCTTACCTTAGCAATAGGATGATTATGCTTATTTTGGGTTGGAAAATGCCTAACAATCAAGTAGCCCCTTATTTGGGGCCTATTCCTCTTCTATATGGAGCGAAGGGAAGACTATCAGAAAAGCCTCATGTCTAAGTGCCCTGTATCCCTGGAGACCTTTATGTAGCAGCAGAGAATAGGCACTAATAAAACGAAGTTTCCCTAGTTTGAGAACTCTTCAGTCTTGTGGGAGAATCTGGTAGAATGGAGAATGCAGCAAGATCCTTCAAGTAACACTACATACCATACCTTGAATAGGGAATGTAGCATACACTGTGGCCAGAACCTGTGTTATGACAGAAGGCAAAGCTTTTGCTCTGGGATTGAAATCTAGGACTCTCTGGGAGGTAGATGTAGAGTTTACCAAGCCATACACAGAGAATTCTGTGTCTAGGCTTAAGGAAATCCTCGGTCATTCCAGTTCCCCTCCCTGGATTCTTCCCCTGCCAGGGGAGATCCCTTGCTGATCTCACCAAGTGTGGGATTTTTATCATTGTCCCTCCCTCACCTATTGAAAGCTGTACACATTTTACTGGGAATGAAATTGAAGATTCCACTAGATTGAGGCCAGACCCTGGACATTTGTGGATTCATGACCTTCCTCTAACAGCTCGCCCATCTCACCAACCCCATCACCCTGTTTTCCAATCACTGGAATAGATTATAGGGAAGGAGGGGGAACCACTTATGGTTCTTTTTAGACTTTTAAAATTAAAGACTGCTAGAGCCAGGAGATATGATACTTCAGTACTAGGAAAATGTTAGGTTATCTACAGATTCTTGGTCAAATGAAATGAACACAAATGTTTGGGTTGGATATGGCTTTGTGTTGGCGCCTAGATGGAAGGTGGGAACTGTCTTGCTTGATATCCTGCAACTTATGGAATGCAGTGAAATGTTATCTTGTTAAGACGTCTTATGCTATAATGTACAGTGGTTTCTTAATATTTTCCACAAAAATAAAAGAAGGAGGTAGAGAAATTATCTTTTAAAAAATTATTACAGCAGAACAGAAGGCAATTCTCTTTGCTTTGCCTAAAATCAAAACACCAACATAAGTATTTGTATGACACTTGGGCTCACAAACAGAAAAATGTTCTGACCTATCCTTAAAGAAAAAAGAAAAACAACTCTAGAGATTCTTTTTTTAAAAATATATGATGAAATCCAGAAGGTGCTTTTATCTCATAACACCCATACCAGAAGATTAATCTCTGTGGTTGGTGTCTTGTTCTGGTTGAAAATGTGTTTGAGCTGAGCTTTGGAATCCTCACTAGTTAGAACATCTGTTCCACAGTTGTTAATGTTTGTTTGGTATTGCCCAAAAGAAGGCAGCAGAAGGGAAGAATTTTTAACAATGAGTCCCAGGATAGACTAGACCAGCAGCATTACTTATTTTGAAAAGGCTTTTTTTTTTTTTTTTTTTTTTTTGGAGCAATCTAACCTGTATGTAAAAAAAAAAAAAAAAAAAATGGGCAGGTTGTTGGACCAATATGTGGAGGTCCATCTAATATTGGAATGTGGTTAGCTTGTTTTCACCTTCTCAGTTTTTTCCCCAGGAATATTTGTTTATTGAATTGTTACTGCTTTCTGTATTAGCAGAGCGTAGATTTTGAATTTTTAGAGACTTAAATGTTAAACTCAAAATAATCTTAAGTGAAAGACTGATTCTACAGTATTAAATTAGAAATATGCAAGACTAAAAAAGTTCTAGCTGTCTTAGAAAATCCAGGTAAAACAAGTAAATATATTATTTGTGAATTTCTACCCCAGCCAAGAAAAGAGAAAACTGTTCCTTCTTTAGGCTCCATGAAACAGAATGAAATTATTCAGGAAGTAAAATATCTCCTTAGTTTGCTAACTAAGGTGAGGTTTAAGAAAAATCAAGTTGACCTGCATCTACTGGGTAGAAAAATTATATTTAAGGCAAAACTCAAATTATTAGATGATTTTTTAAAAAGATCAGAGCACAACCCCTCTGACAATAATGCAATCTTTGAAATATTACACATTCAAGAGTTCAAATTCAGATAACTTATATAGATTCTGAAAGTCACCCAGTGAAAAACCATTAGACCTAGCATTTGAAAACTTTGTAGAAACTGCTGGATGTCTTTGTTCATTGAGACAGGGTCTTGCTCTTTCACCCAGGCTGGGGTGCAGGAGTGTGATCATAGCTCACTGCAGCCTTGACCTCCTGGGCTCAAGCAGTTCTCCCATCTCAGCCTCCTGAGTAGCTGGGGACTACAGGCATGAGCCACCACGCCCAGCTAATGTAAAAAAATTTTTGTAGAGACCCTGGGTGGTGCTCCAAAATTAAATAGAGCAAGGGAAAGATCCTAATCATTCAGATCATCTGTTCAAAAACCATGAAAAAACTGACAAGACTCTTCAACTGAAAGAACAGCAATTCCCTTTTTAACTAAAAGTCCCTTTCCTATTCACTAATTCAGCTGGTCATCACAACATCTCTTTTAGGTCTAGCAAAGCAAATATTTTTATCTCCATATTCCTCAGCTTCCAGATAAGCAAACTGAGGCTAAGGGAAGAATCTTACCCCATGTCACGGTAGTACTTCCACTTAGTCAGCTACTTCAAAAATTGTAAATTACCTCATACTTTTCTGTACCAGCTTCTAATTCCATTCTTCCTATGCTCCTTCCTTTCTTTTTCCCTCTCATTTCTTCTTTCTTCCCTTTCCTTCGACAATAATCGGGATATATCTGTAGTGGTAGGAATTATTCTGTGTTGCTAGCATTCAAATGAAAAATATACTCATAGTGGCAGGAAGGCTGAGAACTATTCATAGAAATGCTGGTATTAAGTGGAATTAATACCAGCCCTTCAATTCTGCCTTATTTCTTTACTATTTCTATTGAAAATGAAAACGTGACATACATACAAAACATAAAACATCACATTATGTATTAGTGCTGAGCATTTTTTATCAAACAAAAATACACATGAATTTGCATATGTATTCTGCAGGCTATTTACAAAATACCTTATGCAAAACCAAACACCTGGACTGCCCAGAGGAAAGGTTCTGGAGTAAGCCTGATCACAGAAAGCAGGTATTAGTGAGGTCAGGCAGAGAAAAGACAGGCGGGACATGGGGGATAAATGGTTGGCTGGGTGGGTGACCTGCAGCACAAAAGCAGTTTTGCTGATTTGCAGATTCAAGCAGCAGTGATTTTCAACTTATTTTTTTTAAATCATGAAGTGCTTTGTTTAGATAAATTTCACCCCACAGCATAAAACAGCACTAAAGAAGCAGAGTTCTCTGGCTGAAGCAGGATGGGGAACCCTAGAGCTTTCCCTTCAGGCCTCTCACCCATAGCACAGACTTGAGGTTTTTGTACTTAACCATCCTTTAAAATAAGCAGGCAAACACAATTTCTTAAGATGAAAGTATGGGCCCCACAGCAACTATTTCACCAAGATCCCTCAACTCAAGCTCACTCCAGCAACCTGATTACCTATCTTCAGAGCTGAGTGTACCCTACATAGGACAGGGGTGTGAAAATAGGTTTGGCTTCCTAGGGAAATAGCGGGGGTTGTTAGATTTTTGTAGGCTGTATCAAGTTTATCCAGTTCTAAAACAACAGTTCTGTTTAGAGAAGGTTATTCTCAACCTATATCCCTCAGTACTGTACTGGGAGATTGATCATACTTTATATTCCTTTAACAACCCACTATTTTCAAAGCAAACTACTTTTGCACCCATTATCTTGTTAGATCCCCACTCCACAACGCAAGCTAGACAGGTATTTTGATCCCATTTTACAGATGAGGAAGCTGAGGCTCAGAAAGATGAAGATAATGCTACAAGGTCACCTGACTAATACATAGCTCTGATTCCCATCCAGAGCTTTAAGCAGACATGCTGTGTACATAGATCTTGCATCTAGGGAGGTAGTAGTAAAGGCCACAGATTTGGTGTTACCAGCATAGTGTCCTTGAGGAATATCAGTGCCCTCATTATACAGCGTGTGCAATAATTACCTGCATCACAACTTCGTAGTATTTTGAAGAAGAAATGAGGTGATTTATAAGAATACTCTGTGATGTGCTATCTAAGGGTTACTCTCTTTCTTCCCCACCCCGACATTTTGGCAAGTTCTCTGTCCTTCTATTAACTTGGACCTCACTTTTACAAACCAAATAAAATTTGTTTCACATTCTCTGTTTGTATTGTGCAAGCCTCTTACTATTGTCAGCTGCTGGCCAGCATCCACAGCAGCAGCTAGCCACCCTTTTGCACCAAACCAAAGATCTTTATCTCTACACAACAGAGAGTTGAGCATGCACCACCAAAGGTTTGTAAGGCTGCTTTACCCCAAGTCCCAAGCAGTGCCCATAAGGACTGTGGGTCAGGCTGATGTCTTAGCGAGGCCTCAGCGGGTGGCAGGCGGGAAGCTGGGCCTTTGCAGAGTCATCACAGGCCGGGTCTTGTCTTTTCCTTGGCAGAATCATAACCTGAATTTGGCAAGTTCACTAGAAGGTGATCTGTGCTCTGCAGCTAATTTCAGAGGGGATGACTTTGTAATGTCAAATGGCAATTGAATTATTTTTTATTGAAGTTCAGAATTGGGTTTGGCCTTGTCATAGTTGGGGGCCTCACTGAGAAGAGTACGTTGCAGATAATAAAATTTCTTTGATAAAAATGAAATCAAAGTACAAGAAAGTTGAAATAATTTAGGGAATATATATGTTTTATAAAATGAAAATAACCTTGTTCGTTTTTCAAAGTATAAACATGTTTATTGTTACAAAAAGCAATTCAGACAACACAGTAACAGCAGTATACACAGAAGAGAAAAGCATCCAACCAGAGAAAGCTCTTGCTAATGTTTTTGAGTGTTTTCCTCCACTTTTTCTTATATATATATTCAAATGGAATTACAGCGTACATGCTGTTTTGTAAACTTTTAAACTTAATATGTTCTTGAACATCTTTCTATGATGTTAAATATATGTCATCCTTGTAACTAGTTGTATAATAAATGATATTTTTCATAAGCTGTGAGGTAGTCTTACTTTTGGAAGTCATCTCTTCTAAAAGCACCATCAACTTATCCTCCACCTACTCTCTCAGAGGTCCTCGATGCTGGCTGGTCCTGAGAAGCACACTGGCCTGTGATTTCTAACCAACACAAACAGCCAGCCAGAAATGTGATGAGCAAGCTGCAACTTTTCAGGCAACTTACTCACCCAGGGCCTCAGGTTCTCTGCATGTTAAATAACAAGTTTGGATAGAGATTTTCCAAGATCCTCTCACCTCTAAAATGACTTGTTAGCTCCAAGTTCATTTATCACTGTGTTTACCTTGGCATTGCATGAAAGGGGGTCCCATGGGGATCCCCAGCTATGCACCTGGATAATGTACTAGAAGGCCCTGAAGGACTTCTGCTGGTAGCAGATGGCTGAAGCTGTCAGGGCTGTGGGGAGGCACAACGGTGGGGGGAGGGTTATGTCAGGAAAATAGCTCTCCCAATTTCCTTCCAATATGGCAGTGAGGGATGTTTACAAGGGCCCATTCATTCATAGCCTATCAGTAAATACAGGCTCTGGGGCCATTAGCTCTTCCTGAACACAAGTGCCTAAACCTCAGGATAATCATAGTATTCATATTCTATTTTAAAAGTCCTTTTGCTTATATTATCTCACCTAATTCTCAGCCCCCTTTTAGATGAAGAAATAGAGAAGCAGAGAGTATGATGATTTGCCTAAGATCAGAAGATGATTATCTGCAGAATGAAGACAACTCTGGCCTCCACCAGTGGGTCCCTTCTCCACCTCCACAGTCTCCACATTGGACGGACAGAGACACATTTGTGCAAAACACTCATACAGAACACACTCCTCCACCCCAACCTCACCACCAGGCAATCCTAAGACAGCATTGCCCTTCTCTGGACCCAGCCACTCAGTCAACACATACTTACTAACATTATGCTAGGCACTAGCAATAAAATGATAAACACCAGAAGATACACTTCCTGACTCTCACAGAGAAGACCCAGGATCATCCAGAGTCTAGGATGAGGCAGGGAGGGGGTGGGGGTGAGGATGATAAGAGCAGCATTGGTGAAGTACAGGATGAAATGAGAACACACACCAAGGACACCTAACGGTTTCTCTGGAGGACCAGGAAAGGCATCCTGAAGGATGAGACATCCGAGCTGAGGTCCAAAAGATGGGTTGGAGTTGGCAAGGCCCAAGGTGAGGCTAAAAAGAGAGTTGGGGAGAGTGTTCCACACAGAGGAAGAAGGATGTACAAAAACTTGGAGGCAAGAGCAGCACGGCACTTTTGAGGAACCGTGAGAAATACAGTGTGACCAGGGATAATGCTCTGGTTAGGAGATGTGTCCACTGAGGCTGCAGGGGAAGCAGGTGTCTATGTGTCAAGGTGGTAAACCTTGTTGGTGTTGATGGAGTTGGTGTTTGCCTTGCACCCATTGGAAAGCCATTGATGGATTTAGTGAGTGCCACTGCTGGCAAGCTCTTGTCAAGACAGTCTACTTTTGCCCACTATAAGAACCTATGAGTATAAATGTTTTTCTGATCTTACCTTAAGATGTACTCTGGGTACTGTATCTGGAAAAATGTAGATACTCAACATCAGGATACATTTTCAGTTTAGGCTGCCACCTCTGTTTCACCTGCTTTTGCCACTCTTCCTGGGTCTCTGTGATCTGCGGCAGGTTGGCCTGGATAACCGCTGTGACCAAGATGCATGGATATGCCAGTTTGTGGGCCAGACAGCTTCTAAATCTTCCCTGCTCTCAGCCTCAGCTTTACCCCAGGGCCTAAACTCCAGCTGTCCAGCTGACAGAATATCAATTGACCAGACAAAATCCCTCACGAATACTGGAAAACAAGTTTAAACTAAAATTAGAAGTATGTGGGCTAGCAAATTCTACCCTCATTCCTTCAGCAAAGAGGAGCCATTATTGACACTTAACAAGTTATAGATAATAGAAATTATCAATGAAAATGATACATGGCTCATATATTCAATAGATAAGTCATCAATATTTAGATAATAAGAGAAGTCTTACAGGAACTTGTAAAAAGAGAAAGTGCCATACACAGAGAAATGGTAAAATAAATTATCATTTTTAAAATAAAAAGTATGTATATTTGATTGTATATATACAAAATATCTTTGGAAGGATTTCCAAGAAAATTAACACTATTTGCTTCTGCGGAGAGGAACAGAGAAGCTGGAGTCAGGGATGGAAGGGAAATTTTTTGCTATACTCCTTAGAGTCTTTTACATTTTAAACCACAAGAATGTCATATCTTATTTTAAAAATAATTAATACTTTAGAAACCACCCATTCAGTAGAATCCCATCCAGTGATTAAAAAGAAAGAAGTCAAGTTATTACAAAATAGATAGCTCTCCAAGGTCTATTCTCACTTGAAAAATGGCATATTTCAGAATTTGTGTATGATATAACTTTATTTTTGAGGGAAAAGAACAAAGAATATTAATCTCCATGTGAATTTTTAGTAAGCACACAGAGAAAGGTCTCTGTGCTATCCAGGGTAACTGCCACTAGCCACATGTGCCAAGGACATTTAAATTAATTAAAATTAAAATTTCAGTTCCTGGGTAGCACCAGTCACATTCAAGTGCTCAACAGACACGTGTTGCTAGTGGCTGCACACTGGGCAGCACAGATTTAGCACGTTTCCATCTTTGGGGAAAGCTCTACCATACCGCACTAGATGAATCTCCTTAGACTGATAACTGACACACAGGGCTGCAACGCTGTGGGAAGGGACTTTATAAATCATATTGTTGGTTTTCTTTTTAAACAATTACTTTTGCTATTTTATTTTTTTATTATAATATTATTTTATAAATTTCTTAAAATTACAAGAGAAGAAGACAGCATGTACCTGTGGCAGGTGTTTACTCCTTATTAAATCACATCCTGCATTGTTTTTCATGATGCCTGACATCCCACTCCAGCGTCAAGGGAGTCATGGCAAAGTGTTGCCAGAGGAGCTGCTCAGTGAGGGGTACTGGAGATGATTTCTGTCTTGAGGGAACACAAGGCTAGGAACGGCCTCAGGCTGTGGCTGACCATCAGCCCAGTCCCACTCCCTTCTGGGCTCAGCTTTTCAGGCACTCAAGACAAAAATGGTTTGAGCACCTACCAGCTGCAGAAGCAATGGCTGAATTATTTTGCCATCATGGCAAAAATTGCAATTACTTTTGCCCCAACCCAGTATTCTCTGCTCTTGGAGTTCTGGAATCTTGTAGGTACAATGTGGGCACTGGACTGAAAGGCCCACCTCCAAGGGACTCGGAGGTCTCCTGGGAGATGTGGAGGTCGGGGTGGGGAGGTGGGGGAGAGGACACTGCTCTGAGGTGAGAACAGCCATCTTAGTGGAACGGGAGCATAGAGGGCGGAGCTTGAAGCTACCTTGGAGTAGAGTTGGCAAGGATGGAAGATCTGTTATCTGCTCTGCCATTTCTCAAACTGGAGGAATGACAAAGATGAAGAGACGGCTGGAAGAAAAAGAGATAGGATGGAATAGAAGCGTGACCAGGAAGCAGGTGAGAAGGAACATTACAAAGTTTTTCACCTCAAATAAAACTTGGATTTGAAACAGTAAACATTCTTCTGGTTATCATCCCTGGGACAGAGTGAGATGAAATTTCCTAAAATTATAAATAAATGGGTCAACTATGAAACTCTGGTTTACAGTTGCCCCAGGTACCTCATTTTCTCTCCTCTTGAAATAAGTTTATTCCCTGACGGAGGGCCAGTTTTTTCTCAACAGCCACAACAAAAATAACAAAAAGGACAAGCTGGTTTTAAATGTGGCTCTTATGAGATTCCCCTTCATTTATCAGTCTGGAATTTAAGCGGACACATTTTCTTCACCACTGTCTTTTTCCTGGAAGATTTAGAATGGTCACTCAACTAGCCATTTGTTCCTGTAAACATAGTTCAGGTAGATAGGTCCTGTCACCTTTGTTCCCTTTTGAGAATGTTGATCCTGGCATACCATTTTTACTGCTCTACCTTGATTTATGTTGTTACCTCTGTCTGGAATATCTTCCCTTCAGGCAGAAACTACTCAGATTCCACTCATCTTTTAAAATCCCACTCCTCTGAGTCAGAATTGATGTCATTTACTTCCTACTGTGGTGTGTGTGATAATCAGTTGAGGATATGTCCATCTCCCGCATGGGACTGTGACCCTCTCTCCCATATCCCCTCCCCAGGACAGATGATACCTGTTCCTCCCAGTGTCCCAGCAGACCCAATGCCTGGTAAGTGCTTAGCAGATGGTGGCATCTGATATCCATCTCTTCCTCCACTCCCATAGTCACCACTCTATTCTTTTCACTTAAAGGAATGCTATCTACTAAGCCAACCATGTGCAATGGGAAAACAAATTGTGGTTTGCTGAGTAATGTCCCAGCAAAGAGGTCCACATCCTTATTCCTAGAATCTGTGATTGTTGCCTTTTATGGCAAAAGGGATTCTGCAGATGTTATCAAATTAAAGATCTTGAGATGGGAAGATTATTTTGGATTGTCTGAGTGGTCCTAATGTAATCACAGGGCCTTCATAAGAGAGAGGCAGGCGATCAGACAGAGGAAGACAACTCGAGGATGGAGGCAGAAGAGCAAAGGTGACATGAGTCAAGGAATAAGGAAGGCCTCTAGAAGCTGGAAACGGCAGGACTCTCCCTTAGAGCCTCTAGAAACGAACCAGCCCTGCAGACACCTAACACACAGATGAAAAGAGGTTGGGTGGCCAGTCTCCAAGGAGCTCATTTTCTTTTTACTCAAGGGAGGAGGCAACTTAGGCAACTACGACAGCAGTTGTAGGTGGGAGGTAACAGAGGTCTACTCTAGGGCAGGAACACCGGGAAGGGAGACAACTGGTCAACTGGGGATCTACTGCCATTGAAATGGACAGGAGTGATGGGGAGCTGGAGGCCGACAGAGGGCATATAGGCTATCACTTCTGTGCTCTTCATTGACCACTTTCTACCTCATTGGAGGTTAGCACCCCACCAGCCCACCCACTTCATCTGCAGGTCTATCCTTCAAAGTTGTCTCTTCCCCTTTAAAAAAGCCTACTTATTCAGTTAATTCCAATTTAGGGTTGGGAAAAAGGAAGTTGATTAGACAAATTCCCGCTGAGATTGAAAAAACTGTTGATGGTGCCTTTAATTTTCCCAGGCATGTGAGTATTTACAACAGCATTCCCTAACTCAAAGTGCTCTTGCTAAAAGGTGGCTGTCTAAGCCAGTGGTCCCCAACCTTTTTGGCACCAGGGACTGGTTTCATGGAAGACAACTTTTCCATGGTGGTGGTAGGGCAGGGGGGATGGTTTTGGGATCAAACATTTCCACCTCAGATCATCAGGCATTCGTTAGATTCTTATAAGGAGCCTGCAACTGAAATCCCTTGTGCGCAGTTCACAATACAGTTTGCGCTCCTTTGAGAAATGCCACTGATCTGACAGGAAGCAGAGCTCAGGCAGTGATGCTCCCTTGCCTGCTGCTCACCTCCTACTGTGCAGCCTGGTTCCTAAAGGACCAGGGACCATACCTGTTTGCAGCCTGAGATTTGGGGGCCCACAGTCTAAGCCATATCACCAAGATAAGAACTCCCTAGAGGGTGAACCACTTGGTTAAGAATGTGTCCTGGATTCTGGATCTCCTTTCTTGCACACCACTGGGTGACCACAGAATGTTCTTGTGTCATCTCTGGCTGCTCTCCTGGAAGCTCTTGCAGGCCAAGTCCCTAACTGGTTTTCTCTTTTGACCCCTGAAAGACTGAGCCTGGGCTCCCTGTGTGGCCGAGGCATGCAATTACCCGATGTGATCTATTGTTCTCTAGCTGCTTCTTCGGTGAATGCTGGTCAGCTTGACGGGAGGATAGTTCAGAAAGGAACCATGTAGTGTAATGGACTGAGAGAGGACTTCGATTGAAGCCTAGCATTGCCAAGTAACAGCTATGTGGTTTTGGGCACAACACCTCACTTCTCTGAGATTCTGTTTTATTTTGTTTTCTTTTTTGAGACCTGAGATTTAAAAAAACAGTTGATAGTGCCTTTAATCTTCCAAGGCATGTGAGCATTTACAACAGCATTACCTAACTTAAAGTGCTCTTGCTAAATGATGGTTGTCTAAGACAGTGGTTCCCAACCTTTTTGGCACCAAGGACTGGTTTCGTGGAAGACAACTTTTCCATGCTGGTGGTGGGGTGGGGGTGGGGGGGATAGTTTTTCTTTGAGACAGAGTCTCACTCTGTCACCCAGGCTGGAGTGCAGTGGCACTATCACAGCTCACTACAGCTTTGACCTCCTGGACTCAAGCAATCCTCCCACCTCAGCCTCTTGAGTAGCTGGGACCACAGCCCTGCACCACCATGCTTGGCTAATTTTTGTATTTTTTTATGTAGTTTTTTGTAGAGACAGAGTTTTGCCATATTATCCAGGCTCATCTTGAACTCATGAGTTCAAACAACTCTCCTGCCTTAACCTCCCAAAGTGCTGGGAATACTGGTATGAGCCAGTGCACCCAACATCTATTTTCTTCTCTGAAAAATAGAGACATTAACAATCCCTGCCTCCTAGGGCTGTTTGCAGAGACACATGAGTTAACATTTGTACAGGGCCTGGCAAGAGGCAAGTTCTCTATTGATGGGAGCTGTGATTCTAGCACTTCTGTGGCTCCCTCAGCAGTCAACAGGGCTGAACACATATTACTGCCAGACCACCAGCACTTTACACTTGCAGTCTACAACTAGAGACTCATTTAGTAGAATGACATATTCTTCACAAACCATGACATACAGGGCTTTCTGTTTGTTTATTTTGTTTCAAGGAGTCAGAAATGGAATTTAGGGAGTATTACTAACAGTGTACTAAACTGGATTAAAATAATATAAGTGGCTGGGCACAATGGCCAAGGTAGGTAGGTGGAATTCTTGGGTCAAGGAGTTTGAGACCAGCCTCGGCAACATGGTGAAATCTTGTCTTTACAAAAAAATACAAAAATTAGCTGGGTATCGGGGTGTGTGCCTGTAATCCCAGCTTCCTGGGGGGATGAGGCAGGAAGATCACTTGAGTCCAGGAAATCAAGACTGCAGTGAGCCAAGACTGCACCACTGCAGTCCGGCCTGGGTGACAAAGTAAGACCCTGTCTAAAATTAAAAAAAAAAAAAAGTCATGTAATGATTTTTTAAATCATATAATGACCACGTTTAGGAACTAGGGAAGATTTCAAAGGTCATTAAGTATGGACAATTTGTCCAATTTGCCCAGTACAAGTTTCCATGTTAAAATGCAGCTCCAGAATAAAGACAATGCTCCGTGTGTGACTCCGGTCCCAAAGAGTACAGGATGGATCCTTTGATCTGTATGCTCTGCTGCTGTTCCTACACTCTAAGACTGAGGAGCGTTTTTTTTTGTTTGTTTGTTTTTACATACTGCTTACCTTTCTGGAGAGCAGTAGGCAGTATAATGCCCTTTAAAGATGTTCATGCCATAATCCCTGGGAACTGTGAATATGTTACCTTCTATACAAAGGGATTTTATGGATGTGATTAGGTTAAGAACCTTGAGATGGCGATAGTATCCTGGATTATACAAGTAGGCTTCATCTGATCACATGAGTCCTTGAAAGTAGAGAAGCTTTCCCAGCTGTGGGAAGAGAGAGACATGACTGGACAAATGGTGGAAGAGATGTGATATGGCTAGCTTTGAAGATGGAAGGAGGAAGGTGCCAGGAGCCAAGGAATGTGGGTGGTTTCTGGAAGCTGGAAAAGGCAAGGAAATTGATTCTTTCCTAGAGCCTCCAGAAATACACCTTGCACATTGACTTTAGTGACAGCTGTGTTGGACTTCTAACTTACAAAAACTGTAGGAAAATAGATTTGTATTGTTTTAAGCCATGAAGTTTGTGGTAATTTGTTTTGGGAGCAATAGGAAACTAAGACAAGGAACAACAAACACAACAACCCAGAGAGGCCAGCATGGTCATGTCTGCAAAGGAAGCAGCTTTTACTTGTGTGTAATAAACATTTTCAGCAATTTCATTTGTCATCTGTAGCATTTTACAATCCTTCACTCTTCTGATCACCTTCCTAAATATAATTCTGTGTACAAGCTTCCAGGTTAAAATGCAGCTCCAGAATAAAGACAACACTCCATGTGTGACTCCAGTCCTGAAGAGTGTGGGATGGATCCCTTGCTCTGCTGCTGTTCCTATAGCCTAAGATTGAGCATTAAAAAAATTTTTTTTTACAGTTAATTCATACTTGGATTCACTCTCAAGCCAGATTTCCCTCATTCTGTCAACTTCCAAAATGCAGTTTTGGGGCAAATAAATAGGCATATGTGAGATGTCACATGGCCCAGCAAAAACCCAGGACTTACATTGTTCCATCAACGATGGAAACAGGCTTGATTGCCAGATGTATAACGCTCCTGAAATACGGATGGAAACTAGCAGGCTGGATGGCTGTCACTGTGATTATAGCCTTTTACCATAACCTTTATAAGGAAAGAGGAATTATTTTTAGATTATTTTCTTTTCCTAATTTCTAAAAACATATAAAACTTAGAAAGTTTGCCACATTCCCACCCCAGATATATTTATCAACAGATTAGAATCTTAAAACTAGCATTTTTTATGCATCGAACAAAGAGAAATAAATAATTGTGTGTATATAAGAGAATTTCTTAAAGAAAGTAGCCCCTAGGGAGAGATGGGGGCCTTGGAACATTTGTTCTCAGCTTTCTCAGCTTCCACATCTGTAGCATAACCCAGGAATCACACTTTTAGTAATGAAGTTGAAACAGGATAAGATTTCCAATCATCAGGGGAATGATAACTGTGGTTAACATGTGTGGAAGGTTTGCTAAATTCCAAACAGTGCGCTAGTTCCTTTAATGCTCATATTGACTCTATGTGGTAGGTACAATTATCATCCTAATCTCCACTTTACAGATAAGGAAACTGAGGCATACAGAGGTTTGGTAAGCTTGTTCATGGTCACAAACCTAGCATGTGGTAGAGCTGGAATTTGAACCATGGTAGTCTATCAGCAAATAAACCATATGCTCAACCAACCTGCTACACTGCATCTCAGAGGAAAAATTAATTGGCTTCACTATACTGTATCTATTAAGGGAGGAAAAAAACCTAAGACTCCTTTTTCTTTTTTTTCTTTTTTTTACTAAAAATAAGGATTGAAACAAAGGGTGTTTATAAAAGAGCCATTGACTCAAGACACACTATTCCTACAATAATTTTAGAATTCTTTTCTTTCTGATTTAAGAGATAAAAATGTATCTTCACTGTTGAAATGTTGGGCAATATAAAAGTATAATGAAGAAAATAAAAATCATATCATTTCACTTAGCTGCTGCTTTCCATGTGCTAAGTCAGTGTTTCTCAAAGCGAGATCAGTAGGCCAAGGATATGAGTTCACCTGGAGCTCATCTTTAAAATGCAGATTTCCCACCTCAGACCAACAAAAGTAAAATCCTTGAGGAACCGGATCTCAGAATCCTGACTTCCAGCGGCACTTTACAGCTTGTTTTAAACTATGGAACCCATTCGGTAGAATCACATGCTCTCCATGGACCCGGACACTGAACAACCTATGCAAATACCCATTTGAAAATCTTTTTTTTTGAGATGGAGTCTCGCACTGTCACCCAGGCTGGAGTGCAATGGCCAGATCTTGGCTCACTGCAACCTCTGCCTCCCAGGCTCAAGCAATTCTCCTGCCTCAGCCTCCTGTGTAGCTGGGATTATAGGTGCACGCCACCACACCTGCCTAATTTTTGTATTTATTTTTTTAGTAGAAATGGGATTTCACTATGTTGGCCAGGCTGATCTTGAATTCCTGACCTTAAGTGATCCACCCACCTTGCCTCCCAAAGTGCTGGGATTAAAGGCCTGAGCCACTGTGCCCAGCCCCGTTGGAAAACTTTTATTAGATGTCTATTTTGTCTCAAGGAGTCCAAAATGTGATTTAAAGAGTATCTCTAGTTGTATACTAAATTTGACTAATATTTAATTTTAAAATTAAAATTTGAAAGTAAGAACTACATTTTTAGTCTTTCTCATGCCAAGTTTGAGAAATGCTGTCCAAGGTTTAACAGGAGAGGTCCAGAATTCTTGGACTAGGAATTCAAAACTCATTCTGTACCCAGGGAACTACCCCTCCTTTCTATCTGAAACTAAATAGTCTTTAAAGGTACTAAAGAAAGGAGAACTGAGGAAACCATACCCTATTTAGAAGTCAGGTTTAGGAGGCAGGAAAACAGGACCTTTACAGATTACTTAAGGGGATATTCTCTTGGGCTTCAGCTATAGGCTCTGTGCCCAGGTCAGCTACAGCTTTAATGCAGCCCCAGAGGGCCCCCAACCCAAGCATTGTGTTTCTGTCCTCAGCTCTGATCTTGATTCAGAGACCTACATTTGGCTTTGCTTTTCCAGAAAGCAAAATGGCTCTTCTCCATTAGCACAAGCTCATATTCTAGCTACTAGCCAAACAAAGGATTTAACAAATATAGGCCCCCAAAAGCATGTGCACTTTGAAGGCCATGATAAAGCTTAAATAGCTAAAACTTATTCAAAAGAAAGCCAACAATTGTCACCAAAAGCATGAGTCCTTAACAGAACAGCAAGACAAAAGCCAGAAAGAGGAACAAAAATATGCATTGTAGGGGAGGGGCCGGCAGGGAGGTGTAGATTTATATGGAAGAATTGACATCATTGTTTCCCAATAATACTCAGCATGCAGGAAACAGATGGAAAAGAAGTGGTGGAAGGGGCTACTTATGGTAACAGGGCATGCTCTCTGTTTAGAATCCTGGCATTTGGAACCTAAGTGTTTTACTTTGAAAAACTGGGGATGGGAACTCAATTGCCAGAAGTTTTATTAAGTCTAACTAAATCCTACTGAACTTATCACCTTGGCAATGCATGGCAAAATGGAGCTCTGCATATCAGACCTGTTTTACTGCTAGCATAGCTGTGTCTGGTTAGGTGGAGAGCAGACAAAACCATGGAAGGAGAATTTAATGTTGGACAGACACAACTGGAGTCTTGCTTCTCCTGCTTCCTGACTGGGTGACATGAAGCAAGTTACTTAACCTCTCTGAGTTGGTCCTCATTTATAAAACATGGACAAAACAGAACTTTCCCCACATTTTAAAAAGTTTTACCTTTTTTTTTTGAGATAAAGTCTCACT